ATATATATATATATATATATATTGATGTCATTGTGTACAGATGGTTGTATTTATTTAATGCAGGAAGAGAGGAATATTTATACAATGTAGAAAGACGGAAATATTCGTATAAAGGTGAAAGACGGCCATATTTATGCAAATTAGAAAAAGGGGTATTTATGCAAATTAGAAATGGTGGTATTTATACAAAGTAGAAAAAACAGTATTTATACAAAGTCATTTGGAGCTCTTTTTGCTTGTTCCGTCATCCATGTACAGTTGCTCCAATATGTTTACAGTATGCTATAAATATTAGTATATAAATTATGCAACGATCTGTTCTCAATCAGTACCTGTCGACCGCGTCGTGCATGAACCCCAGAGTTGTGCTACCGGTGAGGAAAAAATGTATATTTATTACTAATATAAATTTTAGCTCTGTTATATTTCGAGCACTATTGTATTAGACCCAGCCCTCAATGTGCAACATTTTCCACACACAAACACACACACATATATATATATATATATATATATATATATATATATATTCATCCACAGACAGACTTTTCGCACCTCAACAGTGTGATTAAACACCCAATCGCTTCGAGGCGGGTCCGAAACCAGACCGATTTGTCAGCAGGCGGAGATTCTTAACCCTAGTCTATAGACGCCCATCAAAGACCAAAGCGAATTTTTGCGTATTTATTTTTTCATAAACACGCCAGTAACCTAGAGAACACTTGAAGAGTCTTGCATTATCAACAGTAATAGTGTCTGTTTATAAATTCGCGGTTTTCTCCCCACAGTGCGTGATCGAATTAATTATTTTTCGAGAGCTAATATCGTCAGACTATTTCAGTGTGGATAGACAACCGATCTCTTCAAACCCGGATTGAAACCGGATCGAGTTGTCATCAGTCAGAGATTCTAATCAATGGCTATTGACTATGTGTATGTGTGTGTGTGTGTGTGTGTGTGTGTGTGAAATTCCTAAAAACGGGAGTATTCTTATCATAGATAAAGGAGGGAGTATTTATATAATACAGAAAATGATAAGTATTTATGGAATGCAGAATGACAGGCTTATTCATCAGATGTATGAAGTCGGCAGGATTCATGTAATACAGAAATACGGAAGTATTCTTGTAATACTGAAATACGGAAGTATTCTTGTAATACTGAAATACGGAAGTATTCTTGTAATACTGAAATACGGGAGTATTCATATAATACTGAAATGCGGAAGTATTAATGTAATACTGAAATACGTGTATATTCATGTAATCGAGAAATACGTGAGTATTCTTGTAGTACATAATGATAGTGATATTTGTCCAAGGTGTAAACAGGAGTATTTACATGGGTGAAAACAAGATTAAATATGTCTCGACATTCCCAGATGAAAAATTTCCATTATTCTACACGATTCAAAATATGAACTTTACTGTATTTTCGTTATCAAATTATATCAATCGATACGTTCTCGAGTCCGTATAGTATTATTTAAAAAAAAAAACCTTATTATTGATCTGTATTTTATTCGAACCTGTAACCTCATCTTCGCTAATGTTATCGTTATATTTTAGTCAGTTCCAGGACGCAGATGGGTCAGATCTTCAAAAGGGGTTAATAAAAATTTTGATAATCGTGGAAACTTTTCTTTTAACTACCTTCACACCTCGGTATATAACCCACTTTGACCTCCTCTTGCAATTCCCTTCAGCGAACAGGATTTTGACCCCATTATGAGTGACTTTGATCGGGTCCTTTCTGCAGTTAAGCAACGATTGTTTTGAGGGAGCTTTATCTCCGAGGAGTATATACTCGTAAATCCAACTTTTAATTACAGTTAAAATTCACTTCGAAAAGCCTACAGGATTTTGAACACATTTTGACGGGATTATATGGCTTTCACTTGATCCATTCCACCTTTGGGTGACCATTGCTTTGAGGGAGGTTTGTGTGGAAAGAAATGGTTAGATGCTCATCTGTGCAGCGACCCTATTCAGCATACCTGCTCAAGGGAAGGATAATGAAAATCTCTTAGCCTGGCTTACAATCTAAGTGAAGTCATTTATGCTTGATAAAGCAACAGAATTGTTGTTCTACAGAAGGATGATGAGGATGCCGTGGATCGAACAGGGGAGCAACGGCGAAGTTTTAGAGAAAATGGAAACAAAAAAGAAACTTACTAAACACAAGGAAGAGAAAGTTAAAATTTCTAGGACACATAATGAGGAAAGAGGGCTTGGAAAATCGGATACTCACATGAAAGATTGGAGGCAAGAGGGATAGACGAAAATAATGCCTGACATACTTATTGAACTTGATTAAATGGAGGGCAAAACAGGGTTTAGGAGAAATAACAGAAAGACAAATTTTATTAGAAGCAGCAAGGGAGAGGAAGTTGTGGAGAGCCTTGATCACATATGTCCTGTCAGTGGAGAACCATATATTCATTATGAGGAGTAAATGACGATTAACGTTTCTGAGATTCCTTACAAATCAGACCGGGTGCTAATGTATTCAAATCTAGCAGATGTTTGTTAATAATGTTAATATTAGCCGTTTCCGTATAAGGAAACATTCACACAATCATTGACCAGAACACTAGTACTGCTTGGTGATATTTATAAAATCTTTCTCTTAAAACGATTTTTCAGGAAAATAGTTTTTTTCAAGGCCAGTAGCTGTTATCACTCTTTCCAGTATTGATGGAGGTTTCCTTCCTAACCTTTTGTTTGAAGTAGTGTGGAATATCAACATATTGATTATGTCATTATTTTCTCTTCTCAAGCCCAGTAGCTGTTATCACTCTTTCCAGTATTGATGGGGGTTTCCTTCCTAACCTTTTGTTTGAAGTAGTGTGGAATATCAACATATTGATTATGTCATTATTTTCTCTTCTCAAGCCCAGTAGCTGTTATCACTCTTTCCAGTATTGATGGAGGTTTCCTTCCTAACCTTTTGTTTGAAGTAGTGTGGAATATCAACATATTGATTATGTCATTATTTTCTCTTCGAGTTACTTGTACTATCCATTTTAGTTGTTTCAGCTGTAGAAATTCCTCAAGTGATGTGTCCTCTTTTATTTCGTACGGTTGTTTCTTTGTCTGTGATAATGTAGCACCAATTCACAAGGATCAAAGAAAGGTGCCCTTTGCCAAGGCCTCCAGGTTTCACTCGTTCAAAGTCATTTTTAAACATTGAGCATAGAAAGTTGTACAGAGCTGACAGTTTAGATATTTCTGAACGGTTTTGACGACATCCATGGCATCCATATTGAAGCCTCCAGCTGGCGAGACGATTTAAGAACATCACTTGAGTTTTCAGCTTTTGGTTTTGTAACAATTTGCCCGACTTATTCTATGTTCAAGCTTCTTTTGCTATAATTAATCCAACAAGTCCAAATTGCAACAAGTAACTGTCAAATAAGGATTGCTGCAAAATAGAATCCTATCATTTGCCTTAATAAAGTCCGTCGGATGACGAAGCGTATTGGGGAAGACTAAGTATAGTTTTCCTTTTGCCATTTTATTTAAATATATATATCGAACCTGTATCCTATACAGAACCGTCATATAGCCTGACGTGCTTTTACCGATTTCGCCACAGAGGAGCGTTTTGGTTAGCAAGGTCGATTTTACTGTTTTTAAACTACAATTCTCCATGATTTTCTCACGTACATTCATATCTGCTCGATACGTATCCAAATGTAAACAAATGACGTCACACATTATGAAATGGACAAAGCCCGGCAATTATTTTTTAAGACATTTAAAAAAATATAAATAAATAAAAAGCACCTATAAACATAAAAAAAATGTCTTAAAATAATTGTCGAATTTGTCCATTTAAGGAACCGTCATATAGCCTGACGTGCTTTTGCCTATTTAGCCACAGAGGAGCGTTTCGGTTAGTAAGGTCAATTTTACTGTTTTTAAACTACAATTCTCCATGATTTTTCTCGTACATTCATGTCTGCTGGATGCGTAATCAAATGTAAACAAATGACATTCGGTAAAAGCATGTCAGGCTATATAACGGTTCCGTATAGGATACAGGTTCGATTCCTGTCGGAGGACACATATTTTCTATGACAATTTCTCGGACATTCAGGCCGGTAAATGTTGTTAATATGATTTTTCATTCATGCATGTATTTATTTTATGTAAATTATTTTCATATCGTCTGATAAGCTTAATAACATTATCATTAAACGAAGAAAGAAAATCACAGTACTGATACATACTTTTTAATCCAATCTAAGCTTTCGGCTTACATAAGATGACAATTACGGTACAATATATTGAGCAATACATAGACAAGAATGTGATGATAGTCTGTTTCTGTTTACATGGAAGATTTCCAAACAACTATAAACTCGTGCATGTAAGACGCTGGAAGCAAAAATCACGTCGAGCTCGTGACGTGACACATGACCACGCGAGAGTGAAAACGAGAAGTATTAAGTATGGGAAGCCGTTGGTATAAACCAGTGGCTTCTGTTACCAATTATAGGCATTTAAGAATATTTGTGGAGATTTCATAGTTTATTTTGTTCAGGTTAGGTTTCAACTGTTTTATGTATATAGCTTCAAGAATGCAAATATACTTAAACATGTAAACAATAAACAAAAAGTAAAAAATTTATTTATTGTTTTGCCATTTTTGTTATCTCTCGATATTTTTGTTGACGATAAGAGATCTTTATATGACCATGTTTCAATCCAAGTTCTCCCCCGCATCGGCTTTATTCTTTGCCCGTTTCTAAGTTTGTTTACAAAGAATTTTGATAACTTCTCTCTTTCGGAAAGCAAATAGTCGGCAGTATCCACGCGGCACTCCGGCTTTGTTTTAAGCATTAATTACCGAATTGCAATTCATTAGGATTCTTAATTTATAAAAGGCTTTCCAATTAACCTTTATGCACAGAGCACCTTTTTTTTTTTTTTAAATCTATTTATCTATCTATCTATCTGATTCTCTTCAATTGTCTATCTATCTATATATCTTAGTCTGTTCATACTAATCTATCTATCTATCTATCTATCTATCTATCTATCTATCTATCTATCTATCTATCTGAGTCACTCCAATTGTCTATCTATCTATCTATATATCTTAGTCTGTTCATATCTATCTATCTATCTATCTATCTATCTATCTATCTATCTAGCTAGCTAGCTAGCTAGCTAGCTATCTGGGTCTCTTCAACTGTCTATCTATCTATATATCTTAGTCTGTCCATATCTATCTATCTATCTATCTGTCTGACTGTCAATCACACTTTAGAAGAGTCGAAAATTTATTTCTTCAGCAAACAGCGACAGAGAAAAATGGAGGTTAATAATATATAACCTTCCATTTTAGTTTGTTTATATCTATCTATCTATCTATCTATCTATCTATCTATCTATCTATCTATCTATCTATAAGACTGCCTGTAAGTCTTAGTCTATTCATATCTATCTGTTTACCTATATATCTATCTCAGTCTATCCATCTATATATCTATGTCCTCTCTCTCTCTTTCTATAAATCCTCCTGACCTATCAACAATATCTCATTATATACTTACAGGTAGAAACTCAACCTACTTATATGACATATCTATCTACTAAACGACCTACCTAACGAGCCATATTTCTTCCTCCCACCCTATTACCCGACTAAACCACTAGCACTCGTCTCACGCTCTGTTCCTACCTACCTACCTACCTACACATGTACCTACACACACACCTGCTTTATCCTACTTTTTATAACTATATCTCAACGAAACAATCGGCTAGCCTACCCGTCAACACACACACCCCGACCCCGAGTATTGTTGCATTGCTTATTCACTTCGTTCTACTATGGGCGAAATTCAATTAAATAAGTGGGGTACTTTCGATCGGTACCTACCCAGCCTTACACCCTTATTAAAGACAACTAATCCACTCGAGCAACTAACTTTTGCTGAGGCGTTGTTTATTTTTCAATGGTTAAATCAAAAGTATATATATATATATATATATATATATTGGCAGTACGTTTTTATAAAGACATGTCTCGTTAAATAATTTAGACAAGTTTTGTCTACTCATTTTTAATAGGATCTAATTTATATATATATATATATATATATATATATATATATATATAGTTGCCCGTACCAAACAAGCTGACGTAGACAAAACCCGTACCCATCAGTGTCTACATAGTGCAGGGTTGAAAGTTGAAACTGAAGGTTTTATCCTTGGTGCACAGGACCAATGCTTGTTAACTAGGAATTATCAAGCACATATACTAAAATATTGTGTTAGCCCAAAATGCAGATTCTGTGATAAATATCCAGAAACGATTGATCATCTTTGTATCAGGTTGCACGATATTGGCACCCACTGAATATAAACCCGACATGAAAGAGTGGGCCAATATCTACACTGGAAAATATGCAACTTCTACCGGAAGGAAACTGAAAGAAACTGGTATGAACACCACCCAGACCCGGTTAAGGAGTGTGGACCTGTTACAATTCTATGGGTCTACACAATACACACTGACAGAACAATCAAAGCCAACCGCCCAGACATTGTTATTAGAGACCATAAAAAAAAGTGCCTCCTTATTGACATGGCAGTCCCTGCTGACTGCAATGTATCTTTGAAGATATTCAAAAAGCTGTCAAAATACAAGGACCTTGAAATAGAAATCTCGAAAATGTGGCATATAGGAACATCAACAATCCCTGTTGTAGTTGGAGCCCTAGGATTGATTGGAAAAGATTGCAGTAGACTAATTGAAGGGATTCCTGGAAGTCCATGCCTCAAAGAAATACAAAAAATTGATCTCACAAGTACAGCCCACACTTTACGAAGGGATTTATCTATGTCATTTTTTTTTTGTCAGTGGAAAGTGTCATGATTCCATTTCTAACCTTAGCTCCCTGGGCGGGACCCGGAAAGAAATGTGTAAACGCCAGAAATTAAAGGAAATAAAGATAATAATAATTTAGAAGAAAATCATTCATTTAGGTTATAATTTGTTTTGTGCCATTTCCAGGTCAGAATCGATTACATTGCAGATTCTTTTGCATTTTGTCAACAATCTGGAGATGTACAGCCCGAGAAACAGATCAGATATGGCAACAGTATTCTTGCGCGATGCAGTGACTCAACATTTCTTGAAGCAGATGCTGTTATTGATTCGATAGAGTCGTTCCACTTCAAGTCAGTTGAAAACTCAAGTTCAAGAAGGGGCAATATGTCGCTCTTCATGGGTCTAGCATCAGCCATGCTGATGGCGAACAGTAAAGTTTCTCTATGGTGGTTAAATGAGAGCAGTTGCGTTTTGAATCCTTTCAGATTTATCAGCCATTTCCTGCTGCAGTTAACCACAGATTGGAGGCACTTTTCAACAGCAGTGACTAGGTTAACATTGTCAGCTCTAAAGGATTTGCTATTGAGACAGGAGTAAATGGTAGGGTGTCATCAGCATAAATACCTACTTGGGGACTGATGACCTCAACAAGATCATTGATGAAGATCAGAAACAGCGTAGGACCCAGTATAGAACCTTGGGGGTCACCCGCGTTCGTGTGAAAGGATCTGGAAGCGAACCCGTTCAAAAACGACCTTCATTTCAAGATTTGATAGGAACGAGTGGATTAAATCAAACAATCGTCCAGTAATATCGTAAACCTGGAGATCAGCGTGCTAAAACCTGTCAAACGCCTTCGAGATGTCTAAAACCACAGCTCAAGCTTTGCCGTTATTATCAAGAGCTTGATATGCTTATTCAGTGATGGCCGTTAGCATATCAGCCAAAATACCTGGCAAAATGGAAGCCATATTATTTGTCAGAAAGTAGGTCGTGAGAGGTAAGATGTTTAACGACTTTGGCATTGATTAAATCCTCGAATACTTTGCTTAAAAGTGGCAGGAGAATAATAGGACGATAGCAAGAGGAGTCAGAAGTTTCTCCAGAGTTCTTAAAAACAAGACTACAGAGGAGGTCTTCCAACAAGCAGGAAACAGTGAGGCAATAGTTGTAGAATTTGGAAGGAACTTGAGCCAGCTCGGGAGCACATTGATTTAGGACGACAGCTGGGATCCCGTCACCTACGCTTGCCTTATAGGAGTCTAATTTAGAAAAGATTTCCGAGACCAGTGAAGTGGTTATGCACATATCACACAGTAGAGACTCTGTTCTATAGGGAAATCAGGTGTAGGAACTCCAAATGAGTCGAGTGTTGAGTTGGAAGAGAATTTCCAAGCAAAGCATTTAACCTTATCTGCCATAGATGTCAGGACTTCAAATTGATTGAATAGAGGAGGGATTAAGGATTTGCTGTTGTTCAGCACACTCTTGTAGAACCACCAATAACCATAGAACTGTAATCGCGAAATGCTATACGTCGTTTCATTCTATCATCAAATAGTAACTTCGCTTCTTTAAGCACTCATTATGAGACGGGGTTGTAGGGTAGTAAATAATTTATCACCCACAAGGACGCGGAGACACTTTTGGAGTCTATCGAGACTGGAGAGCAAAAGCTTTGCAGCTCTTGCCTATACCGGATGCAACAACAAAATTGTCCAAATCACACGATATAATTGCCCACTCACAAAATGTTTAATATCTAAAAAAAAAACCAAACCAACAAAAACTGAGTTTAGGTGTTCAGATAAGACGTTTGGCCATCTTGACACCATTTGTCGTATGAATCATTGAAAAATCCTTTGAGTTATTCAGCTAGAAAAAGAACAGGTAAAAATCGTTTTTTGTCAGCCCCACTGTGTCTTCACAACTGAGCAATGGTGTGAGGAAAAGATCATTCATGCTGTCAATAATGGTACCAACATTCATACTCTGATTTCCATCTTCAAAGTCCATTCAAGAACCATCAAGAGAAGTTTAAAAAAGAGGGAATAGTCAAGATGAAAACAAAATTAGGAAGAGAGATCATCATTACAACTTAGAGCTAAAGATATCAATTAGAAAAGATCCAACTCAATTAATAAGACGTTTGGCACGTGAGAGAGAGGAGTTTCAGCTATGACAGTCCAAAGAGCAGTGAAAAAAGACTTGAAAATGAAATCGCACGTGAAACCTTTGAGGCAACTTGTTCCAGGACAGAAAATTAGAAGGATAGAGAGGGCGAAGATCATCTTGAATAAGTTGGAAACTGATCCCGAATAAATATATATATATATATATATATATATATATATATATATATATATATATATGAACTTTATTTTAATCTTTCATGAGCTTCCGATCCTTAGCTATGATTAATTAGTGATGAACATGTCATTTTAGTTTCTGATCGATTTCATCACGATTCTTCTGTTAAGCTTGGAGAGTAATTATCTATACTTATTGCCCAAAACCTCGGAGAATTCCAGTCAGATATCATTTTTAAGATGCAACGCTTCAAAGTTTAATCTAACAAACGGACAATTTTGCAGTTACATGACTTGCACAATTCTGTCGTTCCATCCCGTATATGGCAGCAGTTGTCCATTATTGGCCTGGTCTGGTAGAAGAGAAGGTTGGTAAAAACAAACCATTTTCAAAAATAGGACCAAATAAGTGTTTTGTGAAGGAATTGTTTCTAAGTCGGTAAATGTTACATAAAATAGTTCTGAGAGGATAGAATTAGGAAGTTTCCACGAACAATGTAGAAAATGATAGAAGAGAATTTTTGCAATAAACATAAAACTTAAAAGATTTACTTAAAAAAACTTGAATGAGGCCGTTTAACCAACACAAGGACTGACCAAAATTAACGATACCCCCCCGCAAAAAAACCCAAAAAAAACAAATAAAAACTACAGGATAAATTTACTTTTTTCAGAGGCAGTCATTCACTCCTGTAGTACACTGCTACTAACAAGCAGGGAGTTTTTCTCCTGAAGATGGCCATGCTGGCCGAAACTAGACAAGGAATCTAATTGAAATAATAAAACAAAAAATATTAATATACAACCCAGTGTGTCTGAAAATTAAAATTTTGTAATGTTTGTTAATGTTCAGCACACACACACACACACACACACATATATATATATATTGGGAGGAAGAGTTTTGGCAATTTATTTTATAAATGCCTGCTTCAGAAATATTATTGCTATTAGTCTTTGAGGATCTGAGTATATCCAAAATGGTTTTGGAATATTGGAGAAACAAGTAGA